GTTTGTTCCATCTGAAGTCCACGACCATCTCCTTCATCTTCTTCACATTGACGTGAAGGCTGTTCTTCTTGCACCAGCTCTCCAGGTGTTCCACCTCCTGTTTGTAACTGAACTCATCATTGTTTGTAATGCATCCAACCACTGCTGTATCAACTGCAAACTTTACAATGTGACAGCCTGGATGGGTAGGTGTGCAGTCATATGCGAGCAAAGTGAACAGGAGGGGGCTCAACACACAGCTCTGTGGGGTAGCCAGTGCTGAGGGTTATGGTGGAGGAAGAGAAGTTGTGGATCTTCACAGACTGATATGTTTGTTAAGAAGATCAGGACCCAGTTGCATATGGAGGGGCTTAGTCCTAGTGTGAGTAGTTTGTCCATTAGGGTCTGGGGAATCATGGTATTGAAGGCAGACGTGAAGTCCACAAAGAGGACATGGATGTAGGAGTCCTTCTGCTCCAGGTGGGTGAGAGCCGTGTGGACCACAGAGGAGATGGTGTCCTCTGTTGATTGATTCTTGCAGTATGTGTACTGGTGAAGGTCCTCACTGATGTTGATGGTTGTTTTGATGTGGGTTATGACCAGTCTTACAAAGCATTTAGTGACTATCGGGGTGAGGGCTACTGGCTGATAGTCATTCAGACCAATAACTGTAGAGCTCTTTGGAACGGAGATGATGGTGGCAGTCTTCAGGCAGGTGGAAACTGTTGTCAGGATGAGGGAGGAGTTAAAGATGTTGGCCAGTACCTTGCAGAGCTGATCAGCTCAGTCTTTCAGCACCTTCCCTGGGATGTTATCTGGGCCAGTTGCTTTGTGAGGATTAATCCTCCTGAAGGAACTTCTTATTTCAGCTGAGGTCATGCTGAGAAACTCCTCTTTTGATGGTGAGGTGAGTCTGGTGTTGGGAGGTCTGTTTGGGTCTTCAAAGCATGCATAGAACTTGTTGGGGGCAGCATCAGTCAGTCATAAGTCCCCAGGGCATTGTGCGCCCCTGCCCTTATAATTTGTTATGCATGTAATGCCCCTCCACATGTTCCATGGTAGAGTTGCATTCGGGCCCAAAAAAATCAGATCCGACTCGGCCCCAGCCCGCAGTCATCATTTCCGAACGCCACCCGACCTGGCGAATTAACAGTAATTACAAGTCTGAACCCAAAGAAAAACTCAACATTTTTAATTAGTTATTAATGGTCGGGGACATGCAGCTGAATTAAGGGGCAGAAGATCGGAGCTGAGGTGGTGTTTGTCCTTTGCTATTGAATCTTGTTTTGAGCTAAAGGTACCCCAGGTGCTGAGCTAAAGGTACCCCAGGTGCTGACAATCAGGTGCTACATTTGACGCTTGATTATCAGCAGATGTGAGGAACCAGTGGCAATCCCTTATCTCCACTTCTGGGATCTCCAGGATGACAAACTTTACCCCACAGAGTTGGGTTTTTTTTAGAAACTACCTCCAGAATGTGGGAGTGGAGAGGATGGAATGGCCTTCCTGTCGTCCAGACCTCAACTGCATGGAACACCTGTGAGATCATTTTACTAGTGTTGGTGGGGTGGTGTGTGTGTGTGTGTGTGTGTGTCCGGGGGTGGGGGAGTGGGGGGTGGGGGGGGGTATTCCAGATTAACCAACAAAACCACATCGGCTGGCTTGTGACAAACACTGGTTGAAGAATGTGATGCCTTCCAACAGCACCGTGTGAGGAAGAATGAGGAGGAAGTGCTAGGCTGTAGTGGCTGTATATGGTTCTTCCACATTCCACATCCTGAGACCTTTGTTGAATGAATAAATTGTTAAATTGCCAACATGTCTTGTTTCTTCAAACTACAATCATCCAGTCCAATGAACAACACAAAACAAATGTCAATAATAGAATAAACTTCTAGACAAGTATTTTTTAATCGGCACAACCCACATGGAAATAAACAACCTTTCCACCTATAGCATATGTGTCAAACTCAAGGCCCGGGGGCCAAATGTGGCCCTTGCTGACATCTTATTTGGCCCCCAAGATGTTATTTTAAATGTAAAATACTTATATCACTTTATTTTTTCAGTAATCTTTGATTATGATGTCAAAAGTGCAACAGAGAATGTCAAATCTGTGGTGGAAGTGGTCTCCAGCTACAAGTACTTGGGTGTACACATGAATGACAACCTCAGCTGGAGCAACAACACCACCAGCCTGATCAAGAAAGCTCATCAGAGACTCTACTTCCTCAGGCAGCTGAGACGAGCTGGTCTGGGAAGCTCAGTCCTCACCTCCTTCTACAGGTGTGCAGTGGAGAGCATCCTGTGCTCCAGCATCAACGTGTGGCATGGAGGCTGCACAGCTGCAGAAAGAAAAGCTTTGCAGAGAGTGGTGAAGGCTGCACAGAAGACTGTTGGAGTCAGTCTCCCCACCATCACAGACATCTACACCTCCAGATGCAGGAAAAGGGCCACCTACATCATGAAGGACCCCATTCACCCAGCACACACACTTTTTGCCCCACTCCTCTCAGGAAGGAGGTTGAGGAGCATTAAGTGTAGAACCACTAGACTGAGGAACAGCTTCTACCCTGAGGCTGTTAGACTCATGAATCTCTAACCAGAATAATCACTGTGAAAAACCACATCATGTTGCTGCTGCTCTGTTTCAATGTTGATGTGTTCATGCGTGCACATCCGCTCACACAGACTCATGTTCATGTTTGTGCTGATGTTCAATGTTTTTATGTTATGAGTGCTTAGTGTATATTTAGTTTATGTTTTTCTTAGTTCATATCTTAGATGTTATTACTGTTTTTCTTATACATTTTATTGTTGGATGTAACTGGGACACTGTGTACATAATTTCGCTCCACCACATGTACCACATGAGGTGCGAATGACAATAAAGAATCTCTGACTCTGACTCTCTGACTCAAATGAGACCAATCAAACTCTTGCTGAGGAATCTGTGACCAAGAAAAGATGTTGGGCATCTGATTTGAGTTCATGTAGATTCTGAAACCAGCCCTTAGTTTGAAAAAGTTTTAATTTTGGCCCCCTTTTGTAAGTGGATTTGACACCCCTGACCTCTAGCAATTGATAAGAAGCCTTATTGCAACAAAGAAATAACAACCAAACACTCATTTCTTTATTTTTTGGGCTAACCATATTTAAAAGTTTCAAATGTGTGTCATTATGGCATCCATTAAATATGATGTAATTTTAGATTGAAACAGTTGTCAGATATGTTTCCATAACTAAAGCACAATGAATAGTTTAAATGCTCACATAAATTTCTGAGGTTGAGACTAAACAGTAAAGCACAGACAAACATTACACACTTCACACAGCTCCAAGTGTTCAGAAAACATTTTTTTGAAGTGACCATTAAATGGAAAAAGCAGAGTTTAAGCAGTCTGTGGTTCTACATGAACTTTTTTTTAGCAATATGGTTTAAATATGTGTTATTTAGAAATATTACTTTGGTTCTTTACATTACAGGCCATCGCGAATGGCAAGTAAGTTCCAAATAAATGCCAACCTGTCATAAATCTGTTTCTTCGCACTTTTAGCTGCATTTACAAGTCTAGAGGAATAATGCTGCATTTTAAAAGCTTTCATGTGATAGTTTGGATGTTTTGAAATGGGATTCTGTGGGAAATAATATAATTAATATCTTACCTGTTGTTGATAGCATTATGGAGAAATATAGTTAAATTCTGTCAAGAACGCTTGTCCAAGCAGAGCCAAAAACCAAAAGAAACTGAAGGTAATGTAAAGATTTAATAACTGCTATACAAGAATTGTAAACTGTCACTGTAAGTTTTATTCATCTCAGCTTGTGGCTCAGCTCAACATGAATATGAAGAAAAACACGTTAAAGTCTGATGGAGCTAGACCATATCAGCTGTGATGATTACTAACACAGGCCAGTCCCAAACTGACTGAGGTCCACAGGGATCACTTGGACCAAATTGATCATTTAAAACACAGAGATCTGGTATTTTTTAAGACGCCAAAATAAGTTTGCGAGAGTTGTTAAAGCTCAGTGTTGAATCGGTGAAGTGATCACAAAGCTTTTAGGATTCAGTGCTTTATTTGTTTTTAAACTTATTTTAAATCCAGTCCAATAATCAGTGATGTAAACTATTGCCAAAGTGTGCTTTAGCTTAACGTTTCAGAGATCTGCCTTCAGTCTTGCTACTCCCCATCTTCTCCATGTCTCCTTCCGCTCTCCTTTCACGTATGAAGGGCAGACTTGTGTGTCATAACAGGGGTCTTACTATACTTAATAGTTTTTCTAACCCACACCCGTCCCTAATTTGCTTCTCCCCGTCTCTCCCTCTTTCCCTTCACACTGAACTCCCCTTTTCATCAGCGGTTGATTTTGGCAACGTTGTTTAAGCATCTTTTTGACCCCCACCTATTTCTCCTTTCAGACCTTTCCCTGTCAAACATTATTCATACTCAGCACTACAAAGTGTACATTTACATATATTTTGTGTTTTTAAATGTTGTATAAACTTATTTTATATTTCGTCCATTTGAGTTTTAAAAAAATCTGCGAACCTCTTCAATACATTGCTTCCTAGCATTGAAAAGCTTTGTTTTGAATAAATTTGCGTTTTTCTCTCAACTGTAACCTTCATTGTTTTTTCTTACAGCGTTGTGTCAGTGTTTTAACATAGATGTACAACATCCGAAGATTTTCACCGGTCCAGAGGACGCTCTGTTCGGCTTCTCTGTGTTGCAACATGAAGCAGACGGAGAAAAATCGTGAGTATGTGTGAGGTAAACTGTAAAAAAAGAAAGAGGAACTGGTCATCATTCATACACAAACAGGATGTATGACAGGGCTGTTCAACTGGCAGCTGGAGGGCCACTTCACTTAAGTCTGGCCCACCAATGACATCATTAATAATATAAAAATAAATTAAAAAAAACTATTAGAAAACATCAGTGAGTGACCTTTAAACAATTTGAAATGGCAACAGAGAGGGAATCCTGTTAAATGCTCATCTCAAATTTCAATATTTTCCTGATCATACAGCAAAACACTTTAAGATGAGCCCCAGTACTGCAAGCATTGACTTATGCAGCACCAGGCCAGGCCAGGCCAGGCCAGGTCATTATTTTTCAATGGGAATACCTACTGTTTAATGACTCAGGTTACAGCCGATATCAGAGACTTCAACATAAATGTCAACGCAAACCTGAGCAGGACATTAACAAGTACAACTCATTTCCACACTTAGAAACATCGTAAACAGTCAGAAACATTGTACATATAATTTCCACGAGGCTACCCAGCATGCTTTGCAGCTCACACAGTCTCTCTGGGACTCTCTCACGAGAGAGCTTTGTGAGTTTGGGAGAAAATAAAATAAATTTAAACTGAGACATGATTCTTTGCTTTAATCTGGGGCCTACAAATATCCATGGGTTAGTTTTAAAAATAGCCACAAATAGGATCGATTAAGTGAGTTAATTATAGTAAATGACACAGAGACGTTCGACGCACATCGTTCTCTTTCAGCCCAGCTGAGTTCTGCTCCGCCTCTTTTGGTTCCGCTCAAAGCTCACACCTGAGCGGGACGTGGACGCTTCACCTGAGATTTATGAACCGTTTGAGAAAGAACTGGTCTGTGCAGCCACTTCACTGTTAATGAGAACTGGTTCTTAATGGACCCGCCAGGAACAGCAACATGTCTGTCCATTCAGGGAACATCAAAAACAGTCAACGTTTTTTATTTTATTTTGAAAAGCGTAAAGATTTAGCAAGCCAGAGACGGCAGAACAATATTTACGGGTGCCATTTTTGTTTTACATATTGTTTCACATTAGAATATCACTATTTTTATTGCAAGGAAATAAAGCTGTAATTTATTTGAATTACATTCTTATGTTTATTGCATTTATGATTCAATGCTGAAAAATAAACATGTTTAAAAGGTGACAGATCATTGTAATACTTGATTTATTTACATAATTACTTTAATTGCTGGATGTCCGGCCCCTGAGCTGTTGACTTTCAGTAACTGTGGCCCCCGGAGCACTTTAGTTGATTAGCCCTGATGTAAGATGGTGTCTTGGTGATAACTGAGTCTTTCTGTTGAAGGTTGCTGGTCGGAGCTCCGTGGGACGGGTCGCCCAACAACAGGAAGGGAGATGTGTACAAATGTGTTGTGGGGGAGGAGAAAAATTCAGCCTGCAGTAAAGTGAATTTAGGTGAGAAAGAAAAACAACTTGAGCAAAATGCATTTCTCTGGCTAATAACTGAGTCAATAGTTCAGATCTTTTTAAGTTGGCTTCTGTGGAACGGTGATACATAAAGACGGATCAGTCATCAAAAATCAAAACTACAAATGAATAACTCTTTGAACAGCCGCAATTTAAAATAAAGTGTATTAATAAAGTGTAATTTCTGTTTGAATTATTGGGCCAACAGATAAGACTAGACATCAGTCTGACTGGTCCAGTGAGCTAAAAGCTAACAAAAATGTCAACGAGCTAATGAATAGTCTGAGGAGCTAACAGCTAATCTGAAAATCTAACGATTATTCCAGCATGCTAAGGATTAGTTCGACAAGCTAATTGCAGGTTTGAGGAGTTCACAGTTAGGCAGATTAGATAACTATTAGTCCAATAAAATAGTTAAATGAGATGGGGATTAGCTCAACAAGATACCAGCTAGTTTGCTGTGCTTGCAATTTTTCCAACAAGTCAATGTCTAATCCTAAAAGCTAATGGTTAATTTATATAAAAGTTTGTGGTTATTTGTAAAACGTAAGTAGTGACAGCATCGGTTAACTGTATCACGTGCGCAATACTGTCAGCAGGATTATCACAATATTTCTGTTTAGAGTAGCCTAATCTTTGTATTGCAAACTTAAACTTCTCACACAAAGAGTTATTTACAATAAGGAAGTAATAAATTATTCATAATTTTTCAATGGAACTTTACTTCAGGATATCTGAACTATCCTTTAAAGTTTAAATGTACTTTAATTATGTAAATTAACTTTTTTTTTTTTTCCTTTTAGGTGAAACTGCTCTTCAAAATGTTTCTAAAAATCTGAGGAATTCTCACCTGGGAATGACCCTCACACCAGACTCACCTGATGGATTCCTGGTATGCGCTCCACAACTTTTATATAAAAAAAGTTATTGGGAGTCTGAAGGGAAGAAATGTGACCGGGTTGTGTTTGTGTCATAAAATCTTAATGAATCACCTCCGTTCACGTGTTTAATTGGACTCTTGCTATATTAACCCACCACTTTTTTCTAGTTTTAACATTCACATGCACATGTAAAATATCCGACCACCTTATGTTGGCACAAATTACTTTCTGCATTTATGGATTATTTGTACCCAGTATCGTTTGCATACACCATTACCATTTCAGAACTTCTGAATGTTTTAATGTCATGTTTTTAGAGATGAATTATAAGCACGAGACCAACGTAACGTGACTACTGCCTCAGTTACAAACCGTCCTCATTTTGCCAATCGGACTTCTGTTGTAGCAACGAGGCAAAAAGAGTGTGTTCTCTGTGTGTTTTTGTGTGACTGCATGAGCAAGTGTGCTGCGTGTTTTGATGTCTGCCAGAATTTCAGTTCGGGTGTAGAGTCGTGCACAGTTCATAAACGCTTGCCAGTTCAAGCCACTTTAATATAAGTGTGTGTGTGTGTGAGAGAGAGAGATGTTAACCCTGCAGTGGTCAGGTCTATAACGGGATCGGAATGCATCTCCTGGCCCGTCGTTAATGACAGACCTTTCAAAAGCCAGAGCACCTCTTTTGCTTTTCTCCATCTCCACTCTTCTTGGTTTCCTCCCATCATTCCCTCTCCCCCTCTCCCCCTCATCTTTGCTGCCTGTCTGTAAGCCTAAGGAGAAACCCGTCCATAATGACAGGGCAAGAAAAACCAGCATGTTTCTTTTTCTCTCACTCTACCCTCATTTCACCCCACCGCGCTCAGCTTCCATCTTTTGTTTCTGTGTGGCTGAGTTTATCTTTTATGTCCTCCCTCCACATTCACTTCATTCTTTCCTTTTGGGGTAAAAAAAAAAAAAAAACCTCACTGTGCTTTCAAGACAGAAATATTTTTATAGGATGCCCCCCCAACCCCTTACATTAACCCGCCCTACATTTAGCACCATCAGATTGAAACTGCCGCGCTGGTGTGGTGATCCAGTTCTGTTAAACTGTTCATGACAACAGTGACTGCCAGCAAGTCACCAATTGTCTCTGCCTCAGTTTTTCTGCCCTCAAAACCACATCGTTGTACATTTTCCATGACTTATCCACTCTCATGACTTGTTTTCTTTTTGTTCCCTGCTGCTGCTGTGTGTGAACGTGTCACTCAGCTTTATATACTGTAAATTCTTAGATTAAAAAAGAATACAATTTATTTTTGCAGAACACAAACACTCTCTCATGGAGGGGTTCTGTTGAAAGGTTACGAACAATGAATGTCTTTCCTGTTGTACATAGCTTTTTGAAATGCTTGGTTGGAGAAATATAGATTAGTTCTGCCTGGAATGTCAAGTTAATGACTTGTCCAACCAGCTAACGGCTAGTCCTAAAGGGATTAAGACCAAATTTTTATAATCAAGATGCACTGATGTCACACGCTACCCAGTTACACCACAAAAATGTCCGCCGTGCTGTAAGGAGTGTAAATTAACGAGAACCATTACAGTGTTTGTCTTGAACAAGCTCTAAGGCCCTGTTCACACGGAAACACAGATTTTCAAAAACAATCCTTTTATTTGTTGTTTCTAAAAATACCCATGTAAACATGGCAGTGTTTCTGGTAATGTATTAACTCATACAGAAACAACAACGAGCCAAAACGCTGTAGTAACTATGCCAGGCCTGTGTGTAGCGCTTTTACACTGGAACAAAAATCACCAAAAAAAATGAATTTAAGGCAAGAAGCGTGCCCACAATGTGTGGACACAAGAAGAGGACACTGTTGGGTGGTAGGTTAGATTAAAGGTGGGACTACAGCATCATTGTTTTCAAAAGGTTGTGTTTAGGCTGTCTACATGGCAAGGGTGGTGTTTCATCATTTTTTTCTTCTCTGGATTTCATTTTCAAAAAGTATGTCTTTTGTTGGGGCTCAACAAAAACACTGTCTCTGTGTGGACATAAGCCTAAAACACCAAAAAAAATGTTGCTTATTTACACATAAACATTCCTGTATTGACATCTGTTAAATGAAACAAGCATGAAAAAAATAACAGCAACTAAGAGGCTAGGTACGTAGTCTGTTGACATCACTGTGATTAATTACTTTGGTTAAACTGAAATATTTAAAGAATTAGGATAAATATTACTCCATTATTACATGCTATTGTGTTTGCACCTCCCAACATGGAGTCGTTTTCTTTCCACGTGTCCACACACAAGTCCTCAGATGAACATCTCAATTAATTTCTGTCATCTATAACATTTCCAATTTCAAATGTGAATGTTTTTTTAAGTCGGTTTTTACTTTATAAAGTTATTTACATAAAATTCTGTGGTGATTAGCAAGTATGCATATTGGCAGCAGCTAGCTGTACCACTTCCTGTGCATCCTGGGAAACTTCCAGCAGGAATGTCACAGTTTTTCTGTTACCTTTTCACAGACTCCAACATGAAACGATTTGAATTATCCCTTCAAATTAGCTATCAATACTCCTAACATTGCCACACAGTAATTCAGATATTTAATTCATGCGTTTGTGTGTTGCTTGGGTTGGGCAGGCGTGTGCTCCTCTGTGGTCACAGGAGTGTGGGACGTCCATGTTCAGCACTGGCATCTGTGCTTCTGTCAGTGACAACCTAGAACCAAGAGAGACCATCGCTCCAACTGCGCAAAGTAACCACACACACACACACTGTGGTAAAAAACACAAGCTGCAGAGGCCCGCTTTAACCAACCAAATATCTGTCAACCTCCTTATGTGACAGAGTGCCGGACATTTATGGACATCGTTATCGTCGTGGACGGTTCAAACAGCATCTACCCCTGGTCCGAAGTCCAGAACTTCCTCAGCAACATCCTCAGCAAGTTCCACATCAGCTTGGACCAGATGCAGGTAAAATAAAGTCCAAGTCTGTGTGCGTTTCTGTTGCTGGTGATTATTCTCAGTTTTTTTGTAATGGAAACTTGTGGGTTTAAAAATTTGAGTGATGCGTTATTTAAACGTCTGAAACTTCTCAGCTGTTGCCAAATGGAGGAAGCCAGTCCGTTGAGTGAAAACATGCACTGATATTAGGAGTGAGTTTGGCAAATGGGTCTAGAATGAATTGGTGCAGTAATGGGACGCTGAGCACCCGGAGGCTGAAGGGGAGCAGAAACCAGAGGGAAGGGATGGGGGAACTAAATAACAAGAAGGTTGAGAGGGGGTTTTGAGTTATGAAACAGGAGGGTGGGGGGTATTGGGTAGCAGGCAGCATGAGGTGAAGAGGAAATACCTCTGGTTTGTGAACGAATTCAAAAATTCCTCCAAGTGCGCTGTTTGCTTTGAGAACTGGGTTGGGTATTTAAAGAGATAGTCCACTTCAGGAGCCTCAGATGTTATTTCCAACTCATGTGCACAAACATGTAACATTGCTGAAATGCTTGTGTGTTTCTCGCAGGTTGGTATCATACAGTATGCAGAGATAGCAGTTCACGAGTGGTCTTTAAAGGACTACCAGACCACACAGGAGGTGGTGGAGGCCGCCAAGAACATCAGCCGACAGGAGGGACGAGAGACGAGGACTGCAGACGCCATTCTAGTGGCCTGGTAGGCCTTTATGCTTCTGATGAACTTTCTCTTTGTAAAACACGGAGCAGATTTGGCTGGCTAACTGGAAACTGGCTGAATGTTTAGATTTTGGTGTAACATTCTTAGGTGGGGGGTGGCAGTGGGTTCTTAATATAACATCATATCATTTGTTCTTGCTATAATGTTCAGGTTTCTTGTACTGCCTGTTCCTGTCTCTCTTCTGCAAGGAACCTTTAATTTTTGGACTCACTAAATACTGGATTATGATACACTCATAATTTGTCAGTTTAATTCATCCATCCAGTTTTTTGTTTTTTTTACCTGCTTCTCTTTTCCAGTTAGCAAGGAAGCTGGTGCCTGTCTCTAGTAGTCACTGTCCAGGAAGCAGGGGACACCCTGGACAGGTCACTAGTCCATCACATAAGCTTTTTTACTATTAAGTGTGACTCAAGCCAACTCTCATCTTATGGGTTCTTCTGAGGTGAATCGCCACTGACTTGTGTCCCCGCTCTGGGATCGTCATTGCAAAGTGGATGGGCATTGTACCTGTGATCCGACATAAATTCTTTTAGCTTAACCCAGCACTGCTTAAAGGTCCAGATGTTGCCATGCTGCACCATCATCTCCAATATCCATCCATCCATCCATCTATTATCTTTTACCCACTTCTTCCATTTTGGGTCACGGGGGTCGCTGGTGCCCATGTCCGGCAATCACTGTGCGAGGGGCGGGGTACACCCTGGACAGGTCTCCAGTCCATCACAGGGCCACATAGAGACAAACGAGACAAACAACCATTCACTCTCTCACTCACACCTAGGGACAATTTAGAGTCACCAATCAGACTAACATGCATGTCTTTGGTCTGTGGGAGGAAACCAGAGTACCCGGAGAAAACCCACGCATGCACGGAGAGAACATGCAAACTCCACCCAGAAAGGCCCCCGGACCGGGATTTGAACCAGGGACCTGCTCGCTGAGAGGCAGCAGCTCCACCAGTTGTGCCACCGTGCTGCCCTCTCCAATATCTCTCAGTAGATTTGCTTGTTTCTTGTAGCGCCATCCAGCTCACGCTGAATCCTCATCCGCCAATAAAGACATAAGGATCTGGACCTCGTCCCTGGTACATGGCATTATTTTTGGTGCTTCCAAACTGAAGTAGAAACTAGAAAATGTGAAAAAACAAACTAACTGGGTGGGTCATCCAGTGACGTAGCTTCGCTGGACAATCAACAGCTTACGTCAAAGTCGTCACCTCGGAGCAGTTCTCTTAGGACCACAAACAAGATGATCCCATCAACTGGGCTGAGTGGGGGTAGGTACCGGCAGTGGGCTGGCCCTTAAATGGTGCAAGCAAGATAACCATTCACATATTTGACCGACACCTAGGATCAATTTAGAGTTTCCAATTAGCCTAACATGCATGTTTTTGATCTGTGGGAGGAGCACCCAGAGAAACTCCATGTGCGCACTTGATTGACTTGATGCCACTTGGTTGTTGATATGTGCTGCTGACTATCCATGCTGCTGATCTCATGCTGCTGATTTATTTCACGCTGCTGTGTTCATTCGTACTCATCTGCTCACACAAACTCATGTTCGTGCTCCTGTTGTTCGGCATATTGTTTTTGTACTACTAGTGCTTAGTATATTCTTAGTTTTGGCGTATTTCTTAGTTCATAGCTTAGATCTTATTACAGTTTTTCTTTACAGTTTATACTTTTGTTGGATGTAACTGGGACCCTGTGTACACAATTTTGCTCCACCACATGTGGTGTGGATGACAAACAAAGAACCTTGACTTGATTTGGAGAATACGCAAACTCCACCCAGAAAAGCTGGGAGACGATCCTGTGATCTTCTTACCGAGAGGAGACAGCTATAACCACTGCTCCACCTTTTGCCCACAGTTTAATCATTTTTTTCCTGTTTTCATCCACCACATAACTCTCTTTAATTTAAAAAGAGTCATTTTTAATTACAATTGCACAATTACCAGTAATCCCTAATTTGAAGTGTCTGCATCCCTTGATGGGATCTATGAAGAATCTCAAGAGTGATTTGAAAGGGAAAAGTCTCGCTTTACTGGTCTGTCTACGTTCTAACCTTCATCTTTTGGTCATGAAGTGTAGATCTGATTGAAAGAACAAGATCCAGGATACAAGAACTCAAATGGGCTTCATTCTGAGACGAGCCTGGCGAGCTCCATCATCCGGGGGGAGCTCAGAGTAGAGCTGATGCTCCTTTGCATCAATCAGTTTTGGTGGATTAGGCATCTGCTTTAGAGGTTTTCTGGGGCAGACCCAGAACTTGCTGGAGGGATTACGGTATATACTTTTTCTAACCTGGTGAGGTTCTGGAGAATGTCACTGGAGAGAGATGTTTGAGTTTCCATGGATAAGTGGAAGAAATGGAGATGTGTGTGAATGCAGGTGGACTTGAAGTTGGAGACGGGGGTAGAGGAGGTCCTTCATGTACTTAGAAGCATGTAGAGCAACTTCCATAGAGATAGATAGATGTGTTTCTAGGTCTGTAGTGTTTAATCATCTCAGAAGTTTAAAATGAAATAAGAGGTTGGATTACAAACAAAAAAGTTTCAACTTTAGAAGCCGGTCAAGGTTGATAAAACGTGTGAAACTCTTTGGACACCAGTCACATTACGCCTGAAGGTAAACTACAAAGACCAAAAGCTTAAAATGAACAACAGTTCTTTAAATGTTAAGTGAAACTGTAAATGGCAGGAGAAGAAGGTATTAGCCATTTTAATTTGATTAGCTGATTATTTTTTCTCCAAATTTCACAAAAACAGACACTCAACAGCAAAATAATCTTTAAAAAAAAAACTCAGAACACCAGACCAAATAGGCCGTACACTTCACATTTCAAAGAAAAATCATCTCTATTTTATTGTTTTGTTATAAATCAAGCATTTCATAAGTTAATCAGAACTTCACTGTATTAAAAACTGTCCTTCATTATGGTGATAACAAACAAAGTAAGCATATTTTAGGAAATTTCCATGGAGGCTTGTAAAAAGTAAAAACCACTGCTTGAGGGCTTTTCAACTCACTTAGCAACAAATCAAGTCGGACGAAACCAAACAATCAAATCTTTCAGCTCATTGTTTTGGTTTGCCCTCATAAATGTCAGGCAGCTGTTTTCAGAAATCACAGTGACCAAACCACACGGCCTCTCTTTGAGCAACAGAAAAGCCTAAAATCAAACACCACTTAGCGAGTTAGCATTGTGAGGCATTTAGCAATTTAAAAAGTTTCCTGGGGGTAGACGAAAGCAGAAACAGAACCGAAATACAAGAAACTGCAGAAGGTTTGACAAAATCTTGTCTGCAGGATGTTGGGAATAGATTTAGTCATAAACCATGCTGGTCTCTATCTTCAGGTCCTCAGTAGAAAGTTTGCAGATAGAAAGTAACCCCACCCTGGAGAAACAGCTTGACAAATATATATACTTTTTTGTTTGTTTTTTGCTAAGCACTTCTGGGATGGATGCAAACTGCATTTCGTTGCTTTGTACTTGTACTTATGACATCTGCAATGACAATAAAGTTGAATTCCATTCTATTCTGATGCATTCTCAATAATCCAGGTAGAAAAATCTAACAAAGTTAAGTCAGGTCCTCTGGACAGATAAAAAAAAAAGTTTCATTTTTTATCCAAAATATTTCTTCAGTCTTAGGAGATGCACTAAACTCAGTCTTATAAATTGCGCCTTGTCATAGTGGATCAACCAGTTTGCTGGTGACATCCAAAACTAGATGTTCACATGATAAAGGAGGACCATGAAGGTTCATGCTCAATAATCCAGGTAAAAAAATCCATCAATGTTCAGTCAAGTTATCCAAACAGTGTTTTTTGTTGTTGTTGAGAGAAGTTTCACCCTCCATCCGAAGGGCATCATCAGTCTGAGGAGTCTCAAACAAACTGTTTTCCCCACTAAACAGTACACTCATACAGTGGACCAACCAGTTTTCTGCTGCTCAGTGGGGAAAACAGTTTGTTTGTGACTCCTCAGACTGATGATGCCCTTTGGATGGAGGGCGAAACGTCTCTCTCAAAAAAAAAAGAAACTGTCCGAATGACCTGACTGAACATTGTTGGATAAAGGAGGACCATCGGCCTAACGACCGATCGTTAGTGCCCTGATGGCCACTTGCTATTCACAGAGGGCTGAGTGATACTTGCAATAACAGCACTGTAAGAGGGGGACAGTTGGACAGGAAGGCCTCTGCCCCGTTTAATGATGGACGGTTTCTCTTGACAAACATCGATATTTTGATACAGCTAGACGTGCTGAAGAAAAATCAAAACTCTAAAAGGCAGAAGCATCTGGTCATCACACATATCTGTTTTAATGTGTCTACGTGGTTTTATGTAGACCGTACGACACGTTAAAAATATTCCTCACTTTCAGTTTTGAGGAGAAAAGTTTTAATTCTGGAGGAATTTGAGAGAAATTTTTAAGTCATCTAGCAGTGAGAGCCACATTGGATGAAAGAAGACAAAAATGCCCACATTTTGATGTATGAACTGTATAAGAAGCATAAAGTTTGTGGTAATAAGAGTAGACTGCAAAATGTTTGGTAGGTTAGATTGTGTGACGTCACTGAGTTGAACATTATTTGGGAAAAAAAATCAAAAAATCCCAAAATTTAAACTATGATTGTATAAAAACTGTTAAAATGCCTGTTTCGACATGTAAAGTCCAATATCCTGAGAGACGTTTAAACTTTGCATAACTTTGCTGTGGGAAAGTAGAGCTGCGGAGCTCTAAGAGTTGGGTTGTCTCATTTTTTAAGTCAAAATCCCTTCGTTGTTTATGAGGCAATTCTTTGATTTTTATGTGAATTTCATGCTACAGCTACT